AGAGATTGCATTACATTACTTGTAATTTTTCAACTAAACATGTAAATCCTACTGCAGTTGGTATCGAAATTTTGGTATTCATTACCTCATCTCCCTTCAACTTCTAGGTGCAGATACCTATTCGTTCACTAGTCGGGCCGCCTCCATCTCGTCGTCCGATGGTTTAGGTTTACAGGCTTAGTTTCCCCTTAGGACTCTCCGTCATGCTTCATTCTCTCCTTCTCTCGCTCAATCTTCGATCGTTGTTCGACTTAGAACTATCATTATTGATTCACCGTCGATGCTGAGGCTCGCAAAGAGGAGACCATTTCTTGCTGAAGTAGCTGCAGCCGGCCGGGTAGCTGTCGCAGCGGTGGACGTTCAGCATGATGTCTGTAGTCCCGTCCGCGGAAGACATCCAGGCCAGCAGAGCACATTTTGGGTCGTCGAAGGCCACCTCCAACCCGTGATCGTAGACCGAACCTGCAGGAAACCCCAAACAGCTGGTTTGAGTCTGAGGAGCCTAGATCAGTAAAGCGCATGCAGAAATCCAGAAACCTCTGGCCTTTGTCCAGGCAACGACTGACAAGGGCCTTTGTGACCCGCTCATTCAAGGCCGGGTCCCTGATGCTGTAAAATGTGAAGACACCGCGATCGACCGGTGGTGTGGAGACATTCAGCACGGCCTTCACGACAAAAGCGGAGTCTAAGTCCTCGCAGCCGCTGTCCCAGTCCCGGCTCAGCTTCAACTTGTGCATGATGAAATTTCCATTGCCCTTCAGATAGAGCTTGTCGGCCTGGACCTTGTCCTGAGTCCCGTTAAGAAAGCCCTCCAGAAGGATATAGTCACGAGCGACGTTGGCCACAAAGACGTCAGTCTTGGGCCTCTTTGTCGGCATGGGGTTGAATACATCCATGGGCTCAGACCACCTCATCTGCAGAGCCCTGGCCGTCGCGCTTCTGGATCGGAGCCAGATAGCCTGCAAAGAACATGAAAAGCCATTACCTTTCTTGAACTAGAAACCCCAAAACCTGCAGACCATTCCAACGACCTCTACAATTCCCTTTTGAGAGAAGCTGTCTTGGATTGATTCCAGTGCTAACTGGCCCAAGAGACACTTACGGTTTCGGGTTTAGCCACAAATTAAGCATCAATAAGCAGCTTGGGTTCCATGCCAGAGTCGGATAGCGGAGGTTGGAAATTACGATGGCGGACCCTGGATCTCGTGTGTTGCTTGGTGTTGTGAAACCAAGCAAAATACGAAATTGGACCCTGCAAAAGCTGATTTTGGAAGGTTCTAACAAACACAGAACACTTGCAAGGATTGCCAACCGCTTTTGTTGCCCCTCCAGCTGCCGATGTGATTTTGTGCTGGAAAAGAACAAACCATGTCTCAAATCGTGTCAAAACGCGATTTTGGAGCCAGGAAAAGCTGATTTTGGTATGTTTCTGAAGAAACAAGTTAGTAAGGTTTTTCGGGTTTAGCTGTATAAAATACAGTTCTGATACAGGGTCTGGTCTTGCCATGCTATACCACAATCAAGCCGTGGAGACTAAAAAAACTTGCCACGTGCATGTCTTGTATTCCGGGAACCATGTTGTGAGATCATGCCAAAATGCGAAATTGGACCCTGGAAAAGCTGATTTTGCACGTTCCTAACGATAACAGAACATTTGGATTGCCAAGGAACCATGCCGAAACGTGATTTTGAAGACAGGAAAAGCTGATTTTGGAGTGATTCTAGTGCAAGAGACAATTAAGATTCAAATCTCGGGTTTAACCAAAATTTTAAGCATCGGGGGTGGAAATTACGATGGCTGACCCTGGCTCTTGCATTGCTTGGCAATTGTTGTGGAACCAGATCAAAATGCGAAATTGGACCCTGGAAAAGCTGATTTTGGAAGGTTTCTATCAAACACGGAACACTTGCAAGGATTGCCAACCGCTTTTTGTTGCCCCTCCAGCTGCCGATGTGATTTTGTGCTGGAAAAGAACAAACCATGTCTCAAATCGTGTCAAAACGCGATTTTGGAGCCAGGAAAAGCTGATTTTGGTATGTTTCTGAAGAGACAGGTTAGTAAGGTTTTTCGGGTTTAGCTTTACTTTATAATACAGTTTTGATACAGGGTCTGATCTTGCCAAGACATGGAGGCTAGAAAAAGCCTGACAACATGCATGTCCTGCATTCCGGGAACCATGTTGTGAGACCATGCCAAAACGCGAAATTGGACCCTGGAAAAGCTGATTTTGCAGATTTCTAACAAACACAGAACACCTGGCAAACGCAGTTTTTGAGCCAGGAACAATTGATTTAGACATGATTCAATTGTACGAGACAATTAAGATTTCGGGTTGAGCCACAATTTTAAGCATCACGTGTATGGCTTGGTGGTGTGCAACTGGCAAAGTGCGAAATTGGACCGTGGAAAAGCTAAGTTTGATGTTTCTACCAAGCACAGAACACCGGCCAAGTGCAGCAGTTTTTGTCTGTTCAATACAACATGCTTCAAACCAGCGTAAACCCAGTTTGGAGACATGAACAGCTAATTTTGCAGAGTGTCTTGCCAAAAGACAATGTATTTAGTTACAATTTGGCCGCTAGAAGACCTTCCTTAGCGTCGACATGCCACAACAGAAATTAGCTCGTGGAGGAAAGAAATGCAATGCTCAACTACAGACTTGTATTGCAAATTGCATGGAAGTCAAACTCAAGACGCTGCTTTGCTACAGTTGATTGCGTGGCTTACTTGAAAACGCGGCTGCTCATACTCAAGACAAGACCAGTTCATTTGGCTGGTTATAACAAGACAATGAGTAACCGAGTTGGATCCCATGGGCGGCCTGCAAGGCACTCGGGCTGAACTCTGCATAAATCTCGGCCTTGCCTTTGCCGCCCAGTTTGCTTTCCATCTCAGACCATCCGGAAACCAGGGCGAAGCCGCTCAACTCCGAAGTTGAAATGGCCATGGCAGCAGAGTCTACGGCTGAGACAGTTTACAGACAGCGCGCCAAGACCTGGAAGTCCTCGAGACAAACTGCGACATACGTCGTCACTGCATCCACGACAAACACCGCACTCAGCAGGGGACCCACCAACATACCATAAGCATGCCGGAAGTGCCGGAAGTGGAGGTTGAAGAATGGGCACAAGACCTCGGCACATGCCAGGTCCGTAGAGGA